TACTATCTATTATTTGTTGTGACATCGTCAAAATATCACGCTCCAATTTTTCATTATAATTTATTTAAGTTTAATAGTGTCTTGCATCTTTACAGTATATTATTCCTTTCCAGTTAACAATACAGACATACCAGTCATGTTTGTAACTTTGTTCAGAATTGTTCAGGAGAAAATTTTTTAAATTGAAATAATGTGATTACTGATGCAAACTGTAACTTCGTATATAGTTTATCTTGGCCTCCTCCCTTTATATTCTCAATATCTGGTCTCGCTTTTCATCTATCTTTCTCCATTCTCGAAATTAAAAATTATTTTTGTTTGCAAAAATTTATTTTCTGGACCTACATTACAAAAGTAAATTTTCTTGCTTCTGGATTCTTTCAGTCATCATGTCGTTCATATTTTGCATTTTTTTCACATTATTAATTAATGACTCATTTGTTACTAAGTAGAGGAAGCATTATTTAACACGAATAGGCTTAGTGGTTTTATGTACTTTACAAATTGTTTTTTGTAATTTTTTTGATGATTTTTCCACTAATGTTTAAGACGTATTTTTAAAATGTAATCATGGACATCAGTTTAATGTGATTTCACTTTTCGTCCGTTTCTTTGACTACAAACTTATTTGCAATGTATTTATATATAAGATAGAAAGTGAAATTTTCTACACTTATATTATGGTAACTATTTCTGGCAGACAGGAATAAATAGTCTTTCCACACAGTTAATAACACATTTTTTCGCAAATTATATAACCATTACGTTTTTGTTGTATTGATACCAGGTTTCTGTAGACAACAGCAACACCGATGCATCAGTCTGCAATAGGTTTGATGCACAATTTTTAATATCTACTCAGTTACTGGTTCATATTACTGTATGTGCTATAGCTTACTAAAAATTAATCTGAGTGGCATTTAAATAAATATCCTATATTCCTGATAAGAAAAATGGTGTATTGTTCTTATAATATTTAAGTATGTATAGCATATTATATCAATGAATGTTTAATATAGTAATTAAAATATATTTTATGAATGACATCTACTGGTTATCCGAGTGTCATATACAGTAGAGCGTCGTTTATCCGAATCAATTGGGGACTGGGGTTGTTCGAATAACTTATTTTTCGGATAACCGATTATGTACGAAAAAACACATTAACCTATTTCGTGTTAAAATTTTTCTCCGTTGCTTGCCGCTTCACGTTGAATTTTCGTCGTTGTTAAGCTGAACGTAAACTATTTAAAATAATAATCGTGATCGTAAAAAATGATTTCTTTATGTTTTACAAACGAAATAAATACATTGAAAAATATAAAAACAAATAAAAATTATACTTTAGGCCGACTGGAATTCTTTCGGATAACCGACTTTCGGATAAACGACGCTCTACAGTATTTGTACACAAGTAATAATAAAATTTTACTATATTATTGTTAATGTAAGTTTTATGTTATATCTTATAAATATGTTATATATATATAAAACATAATATATACAGTACTGAAATTCAACAAACATTTCTGCTTATTGCTTGATAAATTTTATATATTAATAAATTCTACGAATACTTATTTATATGCGTTTAAATCATCAGCACTTTGTGTATAATTCAGTTCAATATTCTCTCAGGAAAACGTTAAAGTTACATTAAATAATGCTCGTTTGTTGAATACTAAACTTATTTCGTATTTTTAAATATTTAAAGAGTTCTTTGTATTTTTTTAGTTACATCAATGCTTCGTCAAGATACTGTTCGTATATTACAGATTTGCATCCTTTGTTATATATTTTCAGATCAGTGCATACACCGTATTCCATCCTTCCTTACACCAGAAAAAACTAAGATAATACATCTTTCTGACATATCTTTGCATGAAATAAAATTGCAGTCATTTTCTTCGCATTTAGCTAAAAGTTTTAAACTCTTGTTTGCCTGATTAGTATAATTGTTTCCTTGGATACAAAAATGGAACATATAATCCATCTTTGAAATATGGATTTCTTCATTTTCTTTGTATTACTACAAAGAAATATATACCTTTGTATTTTTATATACAGAATAGCTAATAAAATAATACTGGGAAATTTGTCAACCAAGTGTAAACATGAAAACTTTTCCACAAAGTATGCCAGCAATAAAACTTTATTTAATTATTATTTTATTTACAAATTTATTTTTCTCTTGTAAAAATCCTATTTTTATTCACAAAATTTAATATAAAATTTATTTAAGTATTATTATTTAACATGTTAACAATAGAATTGACATTTTAAAGTCAACTATAGTTTCATGCTTTGCAACAGCATGCCATACACACGGTTTTATCGAAAATATGTAAATGGAAGTAACAGAGACTACACTACTCGTGTATTAAAAAACATCTAACAACGAGTTGCCTAACTTTCCTGGCTGTTATAAAATATTATTTTTAAAATCTCTTTTTAATTATTAATCACTAGTAGTCCGGGGCGCCCCCTAGTGGGCATTAGAGCAGCAGCAGTGTTATTCTGTGGTATACATAATAAATTCATATTACAAACAAAAATAATAATATACTGAATTTGTCATGATGTACCATACTAAAACGCAGTCAAAAACGCAAAAAATCGCTTCTAAAAATAGTACAGTAGAAGCCAAGTTTGTCAGGCTAATCCTGAACCCTGTCCCCCATGGGGGAATTAAAACGAACTTTTTTATGTGCATTTTTATGGCCTACCCTACCAAAATGCACTCAAAAACACAAAAATACTGCATTTATGGTTATTTTAATATAGTTACGCAAAACACTAAATTTATTGTTAATTTAAATAATAGCTAGGGGCGCCCCTAGTGGCCATCCTCGGCATACCGTTACAGATACTGTATACCGACACACGATCAATGGCTTATATTAATAGATAATAAATAAATAAAATTATCTGTGGCGCCATTTATTATGAGTTTTTATTATAAAAAAATTATATATTTTTAATTATTATAAAATAGAAAATGACTTAATTTTGGTGTAGGGTGGATGTTATAAAGTTCTGTATACGCTAACAAGAAGTAAAATCCCTACCACACTCTGGGTATGACACGTGACTACACATTACTTCCCCTTCTCCTCAACCTTTTCTCACAGAAATTTAATAGCATCAATGCCTTTTATACACATGCTGCCATGCAGAATTTCTTTTTATAAGTTTTACCCCATATTGAGACATTAAACGAAATAGATGCCAACACACACACACACATCTATGGAAATTTTTAATGTTTTTTCAACTTTTTTGGGATCAAGGGTTTCAAAACGTAGATGTTTATTTGCAAATATTCGAATAGTCAAATTTGACACGATTCCAGTACTTTCTCTTATTATGTATACAGTGGTACCTCAGGATACGAAATTAATCTGTTCCAAAACTGAGATCGTATCATGATAATGTCGTAAGGTGAATCATTTTTTCCCATACGATTACATGTAAAACCAAATAATTTGTTCCAACACTAAAAACACACTCGAATTAAAGCTAAGTTGTACATTAAAAAAAATAATTGTAGTGAGGAAAACACTAAAAAATGCATTTTGTAGTTGTAAATGTATAAATAAAATAATAATTGATAANTATATTAATAGATAATAAATAAATAAAATTATCTGTGGCGCCATTTATTATGAGTTTTTATTATAAAAAAATTATATATTTTTAATTATTATAAAATAGAAAATGACTTAATTTTGGTGTAGGGTGGATGTTATAAAGTTCTGTATACGCTAACAAGAAGTAAAATCCCTACCACACTCTGGGTATGACACGTGACTACACATTACTTCCCCTTCTCCTCAACCTTTTCTCACAGAAATTTAATAGCATCAATGCCTTTTATACACATGCTGCCATGCAGAATTTCTTTTTATAAGTTTTACCCCATATTGAGACATTAAACGAAATAGATGCCAACACACACACACACATCTATGGAAATTTTTAATGTTTTTTCAACTTTTTTGGGATCAAGGGTTTCAAAACGTAGATGTTTATTTGCAAATATTCGAATAGTCAAATTTGACACGATTCCAGTACTTTCTCTTATTATGTATACAGTGGTACCTCAGGATACGAAATTAATCTGTTCCAAAACTGAGATCGTATCATGATAATGTCGTAAGGTGAATCATTTTTTCCCATACGATTACATGTAAAACCAAATAATTTGTTCCAACACTAAAAACACACTCGAATTAAAGCTAAGTTGTACATTAAAAAAAATAATTGTAGTGAGGAAAACACTAAAAAATGCATTTTGTAGTTGTAAATGTATAAATAAAATAATAATTGATAAAAAAAAGTAGTTTATTTGCACTTTACCTTCGAGCATAGACGACAGTGGAGGTGTAAACTGATGGCAGAAGAGAGGGAGAAGGAAAATGATACTAAAACTTAACTTTGATAACATAATGTAACAATTAGTTAGAAATAACTTAGAAAAGATTTTAAAAAATTATTGTTGTTTTATATATATTTTTTAAAATTTTTATTCACTGCTTTTTGCTTTCTTTCCTTCACTTCCACCAGCACTTTCACTGGATAGAGGTCACTTCGTAAAATACCTCTCCAAAGATATTTAGCTTTGCCTACTTTTTAAAATGTTCCTAAAATGACTTAGGCAAATGTCATTAAACTGAGCAACAATATGGCCAGTGTAAATCTTTTTGGGATGTTTCTTTTCAATAAAATCAGTCAATTTCTGATAATACCTCAATATTTCCTTTATCAAGCGAGATCATTCCATGACAAAGCAAACACGCGGACTGAGACCGATGAACAGAAGTAAATAAAAAATGGCGCTGCGAACTAATGTAACGTCGTATGGCGAGTTTTTGTTCGTATCGTAGAGCAAAGATATGTTCGAATTTCATGTCGTATCCTGAAAACTTCGTATGCTGGGGTGTTTGTATCCTCAGGTACCATTGTACATAACAGCCAAGTAAGTAAAATGGTAAATTTCTTTATAACTTCGTTGATTCTGTAATTTCTCTGCAATAATATTTATCTTTAGCTGCGTTGTTTAACTGTTTCATTGATGTGTTTCCTGTATTTTTTACGAGATTATAAAAAGTTCCTTCTTTATTCTCTAACAATTTATATGGCATGTCAAATTCTTGAATTTTTCCTTTGTCTAGAACCTAAATATTTTAAATATGTATATAAATTTTGTTTTCGTTTATATTATTAACTTAAACAAAAAAGTCTTACCAGCACTCTGTCCGAATCGATAATTGTATGTAATCGATGTGCTATTGTTAATACTGTAGAGGACTGTAATTTTTCTCGAACTATTTTCTGTATACGAGAATCAGTGCTGAAAGTAAAGTAAATAAACAGAAATGCATTATAGTTCAGATATATAAGAATAAATGTAAATAAGGAAATATAACTCGAGTTAGAATGAAAATAAAAATGTATTTCATTCAATAGAAAATATAATTAAACGATGGCATACCTGATTATAAGCATCATGAAAGATAATTAATAATAAAGATTATTATTTTTTGTCTTAATATCGGGGAAATTCAAATTTAATTACATAACTTTGTCAGTAATAATAGTAGCTAAAACACTTTCCAAATTAATTGTTTCCCTGTACATTATTGTTAGTACCAATCACACAGACTTGTAAACTTACGAATTATATTTCAATATACTATTTCCCTTGTATTGTAATTCATAAGATAATACATATACTGATTGTTTTCTTATTTAATCATTTGCTATAAAATCATACTAATATATCAAATATATTCCATTTATTAAAACCCTGGGTAAGGCACCTCGGGACGCTATCACAATGTGGAGCGCCTGATGAGCTATAGTTGTCCAGTTTCAAAAATCAATTTTGTAAAATTTATAGTTTTATTCATGGGTTTGTGATGTTAGGTGAGTAATCTATTGTCTTTTTGAATTTTCAATAAAAAACTACTCAAAATATATAATTTTATTTATTTTATTACGAAAACAAAAAAGTATTACGTTTCAGGAATTTATATAAAAAAGATCATCAACTTTAGAAGCAAGTCTGTTGCTGTCTAAGTTCTGATTCGCTTTCTTGTATGTGTCTTTTAACTGTCTCAACCAATAAATACTTTGTTACCACCCCCGGGCCATAAATATTTTGAGAAAGACCGCCCGTAATGCAATTAGCAATAACTGGGTTGTCAGTGGAGCGTGAAATTTAAGCTCCGATTTGCTTTCTTTTTAAGTGCGTAGACTTTGTTTAAGCTAATAAGTGTATTTTCACTGTATTTTCATCAACCTAGGGCCAAAAATATTTCGGTAAATACATTTTCAAAAAATGTCACAGTTTACAAATATTTTCCTACATTTTCTAACAATAGACCGAAATGGAAATTCAAAAGAAACAATTAAAAGCCCAACTGTTATTTCTAAAGCCTTGTTTGTAGACAAAAAAGCATTCATCCTAAACAAATGTAAAAATAGTTGCTTGGACCTTGTAAAATGTACACAAATTGAAACTATATTATGTTTACCATAAAAGTTCCTGAAAGAAATTGTTAATATTTCATTATACAACTATGTTTTCGTTTTTATTTATTTGTTTTACAGTAAATAAACAGAAAAAATAGATGTAAACATTTTTACGCACATAATTACAAGAATGCATGCATTTACTTACAACTTACGTATAAAGCATGTATTTCAAATGATTGCCATGAGGAGAAAAGTTCACAGATCGTGATTGAAGACAATGTGTACAGGGATTTCTAAATTTTTTAAACTTACGTTTACACTTTTCAGTAAAGATAACTCTACAGAATTCTATAATTCGATGTTGTTTATTTGGTTTCAGGCAGTGTTGCCGCAATGAAATTTCAAAACGTACTGAAATGGCTTTTAAAAATGTACTATTTTCCTTCAAAATGTACTAGTTCTATGAATACTTTGTTTACGTGCCTATATATATATTTGCCTATATATATAGAATTATAATTATCTTAACAATTTAAATTAGTGACATAAATGCAAACTAAACATTTTACTCAATTATTAAACTACAAAAATATGAAAACACACTTAAAAAAGCTTTTCATACTTGGGATGTGACAAGACTGTTAAACTTTATTAAATGGACTTGAAAAAACCTAAAAAAAATTTACGTTGTTTAGTCATCAGGCTGGTAATTTGATGCGTAGATATGACACAAACCCAAAAGCAAATATTTATTACCTGCAGTGGTGATTCAGTATGAGACTTTCAGTAAAATAAACTTCTGAAAGTGAAGCGAAATTCTACTTATTTTCATTTTCAATTTCATTCAGCATTACAAATTATATTTATCAAACATTTTATACCTTATGGAAATATTTCATATTTTTATACTTTTTTAAACTTTATACAATAATTAAATTAATTTTCACTACTTCACAACGTGCAAGAATTTCGTTAATGATGTCAGCTACTATGTGCTTGTTTTCCAAATTACATCACAGGATATTAAAAGAAATTATCTTTCTCCCGTTGATTTTTATTTATCAGAATTTAATGCAGTTATTATCTCTAATACGCAAACCTAATTTCAAAAAGTTCTAATTACTACTGTGGTTT